CTTGCTTCCTGACAACAGCTTGAAGTCTCAACCTACAATAACTGGTTACATCTGAGCCTTGGATTCTAGCCTCAGGAGTTATTGGAGTCCACACCACCTTTTCCTGGAGCCAGGTGACACACAGTGGATAATGAGAAGTTATTTAGCTTGCAGTAAATAGCCTATCTACACCCTTTATCATTAGTTTTACTTCCTCTACAGTAATCTTTCCAAATCACAGTTCCACAGTATCCTATTTTTAGTAAGAACTTCAAAGGTCATCTCATCCAACCTGTTAGGTCTCAGCTCTGTGTTCTTGGGAACCCTGGCACAGGACGCAACCTGTCTGACTCACAAAGAATTCCCGCCACCCAAATGAAACTGATTAAGATGCAGTGAGAGACACACCTAAAACCCTCCAGATAAGGGTGACAAGAGTGAAACAACTGCCCTAGGTCTCATTTGCATCCGAGATGGAACCTGATGACCATTCATTTACATGAGATGGAGAACAGAAAGCCTGAAGCAGAGACTGCAGTGAATTCTGGGACCAGAGAAGCAGGGGAGCACTGCATGAAGAGGAATCTGTGCTCCAAATGCTAATCAACCCACATTTACACACACCCAGCTCAGCATTTATCAGACCAGTTCTAATCTGGATGTACAAAGAACCTTCCCCTTCCCCCCCAGACACACGCACCCCTCTAAGTTTAATAGGCATCTCGGGGCGTCCATTCCCCGGTCCCACTGTGGGAGGCCTATTTAAATTTGATTGACTAAAACTTGGTTGCCAGGTTAGGGAATGCTGAGGCAAGAGACCGAGTCAGAGGGGGTATGGGCAACATTTGAACAAGAGTAAAGGGTTCATCACAGCGTCCAGCCCATTGGAGCCCTAACCACAGGTGTTGTCATACTTTTCCTGGGACGACTGATGGAAGTCCTCCTGACCAAAGGTTATAAACACCCTGTAACCGGAGGGCGGTCAGGGTCGCTGTGCTCTCCCCTGCCGCCTCCTTTACCATGTCAAGTTGCTGATTGGCACTCTCCAATTCTCTCCTGCCACGACTTTGATCTTATATATATTTTATAGGCGCCCTTCGCCTGCTTGTCCATGGTTCTCCTGCTATCTCTAGATCTTCTCTGGTATTGAGGATTCTGTACACTCCCGCCTTATGGGCTATGCCTGGCTCCAACCACCCCCATACCACGCCCCAAGCCTCACAGATGAGCCTGATGTTGTTAGGTCTCTCTCACACTGTGCCCTCTCTAGTGCTTGGACTCTCCACAGTCCCGTCTCTCTGCGCCCGCTCTCAGAGGCCTTCTCAGTAACGCCGCCCTCTCTCCAGGGCTCACCACGCCCCCTTCTCTGGGGCTTCTCAGCTGCCCCTCTCTGGGCTGGGGTCTGTGCACCCCAAATGCTGTGTCCTTGCTGGTGCTGGGGTTCCCACCCTGCTGTGGGTCCCCTATGAGGCCTCCTCCAATCCTTAATAGTCTCACCCAAACCACCGGTCACAAATAGCAAAGCAAACACAAGCCCCTGGGCTATAACATAAACAGAAGCCGCCCGGCCATAACAACATTTAATCCTACCAGGAACCCTTTATCTCTCAGCAGTATCAGATGCTGCTCCTGCCTCAGGCTTCTCTTCTCTTCCATGACCAAGAGCTCCTTCTTCTCTGGCTGCTGGTAGGGAACTGCTTCCTGGCCTCCTGCCTGTGGTTTATATAGGAGCCAGACCCTGCCCCTTCCTCAGCTGGCTAGGCAGGTGGGGATCATTACTTCCCTCCTGTTACCTCACCAACTGGCACCTGAGGAGTTATCCCAGCTCCCTCAGTAGCAGGCACCTTAGTGCCCTGCTACACACCCCAATAATTGCCTTAAGTCTGTTAAAAGACTATAGTAAGATCTGGAAAAGTCATGCTAAGCTGAGGCTTGTTCACAACAAGTAAAAATCCAAAACCCTGATGCTGCAAGCGATCTATTGTTTCTGAAGACACCATGAGATATCCCATCAGTATATCTGCTACCCATAGGAATTTCAAGCTGGTTCCCAAGTGTCTGGGTACTCCCTAACCTTACGTGTTTCCTGATTATCAAACAGTTTCTTGAGAAGTTCCAATCAAATAACCTGTGTCAATAAAAAAGACAATGATTTACACAATTGAGAATGCTTTGAGGAAGCTGAACTGAGGGTATAAAAATCTGTATAAAAGCAGCAGTGTGTGTGCTGACACCACACGCTGTTGTTCTCGGGACACTGGAAGAACATATCGTCTCCCCTCAAGGATTGTGCTAGGAACTTTACCTGTCAGCTTTGAGACCCAAGTGCCTTGGACTGGTGAGATCCCAGCGCTCGCTCTCTCTTTTCTCTCTAGGCATACATTTCTGAACCTGAACTGTATTAGTTAAGCTTGAGCTAAGTTTCCCCAAATACTTAGTGAAACCAGGGTAGTACTGTAATTGTTTGTGTTTGTTTTTCCTTTGCATGTCTCTTACTACTAGTACTATTATATATTTCATATGCTTAGCAATAAATAACTTTTATAGTCAAACTGGTAGTAACTGGGTATATTTTTCCTTCTCTGCTTCTCTTTCCTCCTGTGCTCTGCAGCAACGCTTCTTTTACCTAAGCTAAAGGTCCCTGTGAAGCCCAAAAACACTGTGGGGTCTGCTCATCAAGAGGCCAAAGATTGGGACGTGCTGAGTTGAAACACATAAGGGGATCAGCTTGTACAGGCTGATTGACCCTGTTTGACTCAGTCATGCCCTTATGAAATGCATGCTGGCCCATGAGGGTGTCAGCTGGACACACAGCCAGAATCAGGGGGATTCTGTTCACCCGTGTGCTTGTGTCTGACTGCAGTGTATTGTTGCTCTGATGAACTGATTCTTGGCATATAAGGGTGTCAGCCTGTCTGTGGTGATCAACCCGGCCGGGTCAGGCATGTCACGTTAATCTTTGTGTGTTTGTGTGTATGACTGAAACCCAGTCCCATTGAAATTGAGTCCTGCAAGGTAGCTCCATTGGGGGTGAGGACTTGCAGAAGGGAGATATACAGCTCCGTGTAGTAACACAAGTAACACAAGCAGCACATTGACAGAATCACCAAGACTCTAGAAATGTATCCCTAATAAATGAGCACACCCCAAAGTAATGGGCAAATCTGGTAACAAACCTTCTGCTGACAGGCAGGAATCTGTCCCTAAAGCATCCCACATAGCAGCCTTTCCACGCTTTCCTTGAAAACCTTTAATGAAGGAGATACCACCGCTTCTCTTGATAGCTTTTGCCATTGTCTTACAGATCTTTAAGTCAGGAAGCTTTTTCCTGAGCACAAATCTAAATTTGCTCTGTCATTTAAAGCCATTGCTTTGTGTCCTGCACTCTGCAGCATGGAAAAGCCCCTCTATTTGTGGCAGCCTTTCAAATATTTGCACAAAGTCAAATATTTAATGAAATATTTGAAAACAACCAAGTTTCCACTCCTCCCTTTATCTCCTTTTCTCCAAACTAAGCATACACAACTATCTTGTCTTGTCCTTTTACAGCTGGATCTACAGCCTCCTTTTTACAGGCAGGCCTTGGACTTACGACACAATTGGTTCCTAAAAACCAAGTTGAAACGTTGTAACTCGGAACCGATTTTCCCATAGTTTTCCCATTAATATTATAAATGGGGGATTGGTTCCTGAACCAAGGCCCAAAACCCTATTTTCACCAAAAAAACCCCAGAATTTTGTACTCAATCAATTATAGATGAATCATATAGCTGCATTAATGTTTTTATATTGTAAATAGAAATCATATTGATATGGAAGGACTTCTTTGAAGTGACTTTGCTGAACTTTTTGAAGGGTTCTTGGGTGGAGTCTTCTCAGGAGTCCTGGCTGCAGGTTTTTCTGGAGTCTTGTCTGATTTCTTAAAGAAAGTGTCCAAGGAAAATTGGACAGATGTTCTCCAGGGAGAGGGGCAGTTTCCAAAGTCCTTAAAAATGTAGTGTTCAGATCTGGGCAACATGTTCCAGCTGAGATTTAGCTATCACTGGCCACATCTACATGAGATGTTGACTGCACAGTTGTTACTGCACAGTCATTTAGTACTTGTATATTTAGTACCAGAGACACTGCAGTCACACTGACAAATGGCTTTCTCATGATGCTGATTGTGCCATAGCCGGAGACTACTGAGCAGTAGCAGTGCGTTACGCTTCATGCCACGTGATGCTACTGCGCAGTAGTCATGGGCTACAGCACAGTCAGCATCACAAAAAAACCATTCGTCCATGTGACTGTGCGGTGACTCTGGTTACAAGAGCGGTGCACACAAAGTGAGCTAGGGTTGGGAGCCAGGCACGAGGCCACCCGGTCGGAGGAGAGAATAAGGAGAGCAGTGCTGCGTCTGGCTGCACATCACCTGGGGAGATTGGAGACAGGTGTGGGGCTGGAGAGCTGGTCCAACCCCAGTCCTTTCCTGAAAGGGGGGTTGTACCCAGCCCCTATCCTAGAACCAAACTCAGTCAGTGGAATTAACTGTCCAGGGCTGGGGGGGCATGTCCTGCACTGGAGGTTTACAAGACGGGGCGGGAGAAGCCTTGCACAAGGCTGGTTTAGGAGCAAGCAGCATGCTGCATTCGTACACAGAGCTGGACTAGATGACCCTAAGGTCCCTGCCAGCCCTGAGTTCAACAAATGAGTTATATTTAATACTTTATTAAATGAAAGTGGGAATTGCCCACCAATAATAGTGAGATCCATGATGTTCTGGCCTGCACTAAAGACCTCTCCAAAGAGAGATTCTTTGACTAGGGGATTAGGCCTGGACTTTGGGACTTCGGGACCAGCGAGGAGGCTACAGGGATGTGTGGGTGCATCTGTCCGTCTGAAGCTTCCCTGTTCATTCTTCTGTGATGCAATGTTTGCTTATGATGAAGCAGCACTACCTGTAAAACTCCCTGATTTCCTGTTAATGCTGCCCAGTGCCCAGTGCCCCAGCTCCCCCCGACAGCTGCTCAGAGTTTAGTTTCTGTTTTGCACTGACACCGATTTCAGAGCACTTGGACAGCTTCTGGCCGAGGGGACAGCATCCAAGTTGGAGCAATCTGCAGGCTGGGAGAAAAGAAGAAGGCCTTGATTTCTGACTGGCTCTGACTGCACCCAAGTGTGCAGAGGCAGGTGAGGAGGAGGAGGGTGGAAATCTGCTGTAACGCTCCATGGGAGAATCTGTGGGACTGAGTCCTGTCCCTGGAAATTGTCCCAAATTGCTGTGCAGAGCAGTGATAAGAGCTAAAAAGCAAGATTTTTTTGAGAAATCATGAGCTTGTGGTTCGCTGGTTCTGGTCTGTGCTGGCAGGCAGCCCTCGTGGCTTAGCCCTGAGAGCAGAAGGGCTGGAAGCTACAGTTTCCAGACAGGAAGACTGAGGGTCTCGGGCTTCTCCTCAGCACCACAGTTGCTTGCATGCCAGGACAGGGCTCTGGGTGGATAAAATGCCCTGCTCCTCTCTGCCGAGTTGGAAGCACAAAGGAGCAAATCATTAAGACAAGACCTGAAGTGCCAGCGCCTTCCCCAGAGACTTGCTGGGGTACCCAGGATGGGTCCTGGGTGTCTTCCCCTCCCTCAGCCTCATCAGCAGCCAGTCTTGGGAGGTGACTTCCTTAGTGCTGGGTGGGGGCACAACTTGGGGCTGCTCTCTAGAGGAGCCTGGATGGGGGTGCTAGTGCCCTGGGGTAGGTGTGTGGGGCTGCACAGGGGAGCCTTGGTGGTGCAATAGGCAGTCTGTGCCCCCTGGTGCCACCAGACCCTCCTGCCCACCTCCCTGTACAGAGCAGGCTCCTGGGCTCCAGGGTCCTGGGCTGGGAGATGCAGCCTCAGCGCTGGGGTCACAGGGGCACCCATCTCTTGGTGGTTGCAGTGGTATCCTCTCCTCCGGGCCTCCTTCCGCTCACCGGAGGCAGTAGCCATGCTGCAGCGCAAGTGCTGCTGGGAGTCCTGAGTGCCCCTGGCATGGGGCATGGGGCAGCACTGGGGCCACTGGGGCAGCACAGTGCAGGCATGGGGCAGCACTGGGGCCAGGCTGGGCTGGGGCTTGTGTCTCCTGCTGTGCCAGAAGAGACCAAGGCCAGCTTCCAAGATGCTCTGCAGAGCAGCATGCGTGGACTTCGCTTCACAGGAAAAGCTCGCAAGTGGGGGCATGCAGCAGGCCACAATACAGGGCTACAGCTTCTGCTCCCTCTGCTAGTCCAGGCACTGCAGCCCAGACCCTCAAGTGTGCCAGGCTGCCTCCACCTCCACCTCCAGATCTTCTTCTTGAAGTTCTGGTTGAACTTCACCCCCCACCTTTTTGTTTTTGGTCACCCCATCCACGGCCCCACCACGGCCCGGGACCTCCTGGTCAATCTCCTCCTGGCCTTGGCCAAGTGGGCCCTGTACTTGACCAGGAAGCAGGCTCTGGCTGGGAAGGTGCCCATAGACTGTGAGGCCACTTTCCTCTCACTTGTCCATGCATGTTTCCGGGCAGAGCACCCATGGGCGGTGTCTGCCGGCTCCTTGGATGCCTTTGAGGACCGGTGGATGCGACGTGGGGGGTTCTGCTTGATGTCCCCCTGAGGCACACTTATTTTCACATTTTGACCCTTTGACCCACACAAAACTCCTATCCTGGTTTTTTCATTAGTTGTCCCAAGTATTTTGTTGTGTTATCCATCCACTGGCCCCATACATTAGGAGCTATTAGTTGGCTGTTTGGGCCTCAAAGCCCATGATAATTGGATGATACAAATAGTCAAGCCTTTCCCCAGGTACTTCCCTGGACTGACCGTGGCCTCAGCTGTTTGCTGAACATGTCATACCTGCCCCTGCCTGGATCTGAGCTGCCAGACCCGAGGGGCTGTCTCAGAAGTCAGCTCTGCTAGCTGGGGTGTCCCTCGCAGCTTCATGAAGTTTTGCTCATGCTACCAAAAAGCCTCAAATCCTTCCTTGAGCACCTCAGAAGCTCCCCCTGAACTTTCATTCAGACCACGGAGCTTTTCTCTTTCCTTCCCAATGCCAAGCTAAGACTTCTGCAAAGGGAGAAGCCTGGAGCTGCAGCTGGGCTCCAGCAGACTCATCAGCCTTTTGCAAAAGATGGTCTGATTGCCCTACTGAGGCAGAGACCAGACCTACTTATCCTGGGTTCAGGATCCACCATAGACATTTCATGGAGCTCCCCCTTTGCCCTGAAATACCTTGCTTAAGGTGGGCAAGTTGCAATGCAGCATCCGGAGCTTTTCCCTTGCACTGGCTGATGTGATCATGCTGGAGCAATCCCCAGGAACCAGCCAGGCCTGGCTTTGCTGCGAAGTCAGTGCTCTGGTGCCAAAGGGGCTGCATAGTGGCTTTGCCTTCATCCCTATTCCTTCCCACAGGTGAGAGGCAGGAGATCACCTGGGCACAGCGTCATGGGGGTCACCGATGAGGCCGTGGTGGAGATGCCAGCTCTGGGCCGGCCCTTCCAGGTGGGGATGCTGTACGACTGCCGCAGGGACCTCCTCGTCCCAGGTACGCATCACTTGAGTCTGTAGCGAGTTCCAAGGAGGGGTGAAGATGGGCATGCTGGGTGGGGACCTCCCAGGGCAGAAATATGCAGCAAAGAGCAGGGAAGCCGCTGCAGAGCCTGGCTGGAGTCTTCTCCTGGCTGCACCCCAGGGCACCTGCCCCTTCCCGCTTAGCGCCGGAGAGGGGGAGCACAGCCGAAGGGCCCCTCTGCACAAGGCTCAGCCAGGCAGGGGCAGCCTCCGCTCTGCACACAAGTTGCTGGGGTCTCATTGCACCACAGCTACCCAGGAAAGGTCTGATCCTGTGGCAGGCACTTGGGCAAAGCCTCTGGCCCATGGCAGGAGCAGGGAGGAGTCAGAGCTAGGCAGCACTGGGATGAGGCATAAGGAGCTGCTGGTGTCTTGTCTTGGGCCTCGCAGTCCACTTCCCATCTACGATTGTTACAGCAGAGGAAATTTGGACTTGAGCAGATGAAGGGGTTGGCAGGCTGAGGCCAGGTTGGGCAAGCACCGGGGTTTCGCACAAGGGGACCTCAGTGTTGCAGTGTTCCCTGGGAGGGAAGGACTGTCACAGGGAGTTGCCATGCATGTCTTCAATGCCAGCTCAGTGCACAGTGCTCCAGGTGAAAACCAAAGGGAGCTATAGCCTGGAAGGGCCAATGGGCTCAGCAATGCCATGCTCAGAAAATGACTGGCACAAGGGAACACAGGTTTGGGCAGGATGAGGGGAGGGGAGGGGAGGCACAAGTCATTGGGCTTCCAACACCACTGGGGTGGCCCAACTTCCAAAGCCTGGGCACAGCCGACAGCTACAAGAGACAGCCCTGAGCAGCCCGTGCCCTGGCACCAGTGCTCTGCCCCAGCACCTTATGACTCTGCCTGCAGTGACTTTCTCCTGGGGCTGCCCCATTGCAGAATTGCCCTCACCCACAGCACTTGTCCTCTGGGAGACTCCCTCATCCGGGGGTGGATGCAGGGCGTGCACTCACATACCCCACTTTGATCCCTGTGCCACCCCAAGCATAATACCAGCTCCCTGGCATGGCAGCAGCGTTTCTAGTCAGATAGTGCTGAGGGAGTTAATTGTCTTTGATGTTCAGCTGCTCAGGCTAGCCTTTCCACTGCATTTCTGCTGTCTGTTGGCTACCCCTGGTCACGTAGCTCCTATTTCACAGCCCTGCAGACTGTTTTGAAGTCTAGTGAAAAAGCATGCTAGCGAGTGTGGAAACAGCTTTCAGGGAAGCACTGGATGCTCTATCAAGACGCTCAGCAAGGCTGGAGTTAGCTCTATGAATCTGAAAGAGACATCCATTTAATGTTCGTGGCAGGACAAGGGAAACAACATGCCTCGATTGTACTTGCCAAGTTATGATGTTTCTATATGTAATGCATCATATAGCATATGAGTGCACATCTAAGTTATTTATTTTTGTTTTACTCTGATTTTAAAGTAAATAATATGGCCGTGGTCCATGAGCTAATTATCCACGCTTCTAGTTTCTTTTTAACGGGAGAAAAATATGCACCGGGTTATATGTGATGAAGCACCACACCAGCTGCACTGGCCTTTTCAAATCCCTACATCTGCTCATGCCTCTGTGTAACCAGAGAGAGCAAAGAACTGCTTCTTAGAAAGGAGAGAGAGGGAAAAACCAACAACTCACCAAAACCTGCCTTTTCCGAAATCCTGTAAGAAACCAGAGGCAAAAATGGCCATTGGGGGACAGAGTTGAGGTAATCTATTCCTAGCAGATTTCCTTCATCTCCTTCCCTCGCTACTGTTTGGTGGAAAGAGCCTGTGCCTGCCACTCACAGGACCTGTGCTCGTGTCTTCTCTTCCAGGGGTCACATTGTGGCGTCCGGAAGAATTGAAAAAGGATTTAAATGTGAGGCCACAGCCCAAGACAGATTTTGAGATCATTGCGTCTGACACCATTGAGGACAAAGCCTCAGCCCTGGGCGTCTCAGCCGAACTGAAGGCCAGTTTCATTGGGGGGCTGGTGGAAGTTGGTGGTTCTGCAAAATACTTTAAGGACACCAAGAAATCCAAGCAGCAGGCCAGGACAACACTTCAGTACTCAACTACGACTCGGTACGAGCAACTGAGCATGAGCCACTTAGGACCAGAGAACGTCTCCTACCGTACAGTGTTTGACCAAGGCACGGCCACCCACGTGGTCACCGCTGTGCTGTACGGGGCTCAGGCCTTCTTTGTGTTTGACAAGCAAGTGTCTTCATCTGAGGACATCCAGGAGATACAGGGAGAGCTCCAGGTTATGATCAAAAAGATACCACTGGTCTCCATAGAAGGGAAAGGGTCCCTCAAAATGGATGACAAAGAGAAAGCCCGGGCTGACCAATTCAGCTGCAAGTTTCATGGTGATTTTGCTCTTGAGAGCAATCCGGTGACTTACGAGGATGCCATGAAAATTTATGCCACGCTCCCCAAGCTGCTGGGTGAAAATGGGGAGAAGGCCGTGCCCGTGAGAGTTTGGCTGTACCCGCTGACCAAGCTGGACTCCAAAGCTGCTCAGCTGGTCCGTGAAATCAGTCTTCAACTGATCTTTGATGCCCAAGAGGCCCTGGAGCAACTGGCAGAAGTAGACATGCGCTGCAATGACCTGGTGAGCAACCGGATTGCCACGACCTTCCCTGAGATCAAGACAAAACTGCAGCAATTCAAAACCATGTGCAAGCAGCACAGGCAGATTTTCCAGAAAGAGCTGGCAGGAATCTTGCCCTCCATCCGTGCAGGGGGGAAAGAGGAGCAGGCCCTGGCGGACATTTTAGTTGGCATGCAGCAGTCCCCATTCAATACACAGCAACTCAATGCATTCCTGGATATGAAGGAGCAAGAGATGATTTATGTGAACTCCTTCCTCATGGACCGCAGCGATATCAAACTTACGCCCTCTCAGAGTCAGCTGCAGCGTGTTGTCCTGGATCGCAAGTTGGACTTTGTCCTCTCCTTTACGTTCACCTCGTTATGGAATAAGGAGCCATACTTAGATAATTTAAAGCTCTGGCTTCAGAACCAACATATGAAGAAACCGGACGACGCAGCCCTGGCCGGGTCTGTCAGTGGGCAAGCCACATCCAAGCTGTGGTTTCAGCAGAAAGATATTCACACAAAAGCATGGAATTACTCCATCTCCTTCCTGAAATTTGCCACAGCCAATGCATCCGGAAAGATCGGGTATACTGTGACCTCTGCCTATGATGAGGAGCATCCAGGTGTCACCATCCATCTGTATGCGAAAGGCATTGAGGTCAGCCCTTCTTTTGAGCCTCCTGTAGAACCTCTCTCTCTCCTGATTGGCGAAATCAAGCATGACCGCATGCAGCTCACCTTCAAGCCAGCAGCCTTCGGAGAGGCTTGGATAACTGGCTATCGAGTAGAGTACAAGATGAAAACGGAGGAGGAGGAAAAGGGGGAGAAGAAGGAAACGGAGGAGAAGTGGGTGGGTGTGGAAACAGAAAGCAAACAAGAGATGTTCACATTAACAGGGCTTCGTCCAAACACCGAGTATATGTTCCGATACGCGTCAGTGAGTGCTCCAGGTGTGAGCTTGACCTCAGAGATGAAGGGGACGGTCAAGACACGCCCCGTTAGTGCTCCAGGGATGCCTGTGCCCATTGCTGTGGGTGTGACAACCATTGCCCTCACCTGGGAAAGCCCAGATATCATTGGCAAGGGCTCCATTATAAAGGAGTACAGGGTAGAATACAAGGAAGCTGGAGACGGAGGTCCCAAGGGGAAGGACGAGTGGCTGGTACGTCGGACGGGGAGAGCGCAGTTCTGTCACGTCGATGGCCTGAGCCCACAGACACCTTACCGATTCCAAGTGACTGCCGTGTGCATGGACGGGGCAGAGAGTGCCCCTAGTGAGGAGACTCGTGTTTCAACAGTAATGGCAGACAAATCCAAGCAGTTCACACAGGAATTGGTCAAGAAGAGCACCTTGGTGGAAGAAGGGCATCCATCACTTTATGCCCTCCCCTTAGAGAAGGCAAAGGCGGCCCCAGATGCACTGTACCGGAGGTACAGCCTGGGAAAAGCCAACCCTCAAGTCCCCAGCAAAGCTGTGGTGATAGTAGGCATTCCTGGGCGGGGGGAAGGC